TAATTTTTTTTTGGATATGCTCCACCAATTGCAATATACGTAATAATCGAGCTTCATGTATCTAGCTGTTAAAGGATTCTGTGATATTAGAGGTCATATGACCTTATCTGCAAACATCAAAATAATAAAAATTTTGATGCATCCAATATATAATATTATTAACACGTAACCACAAAACTTAACCTTTAATAGTGAAAGTTAACATAAAAAGATGAAAGTTAACATATACCAGTCATAGTTAACCTATAGAAAGGAAAATTCACATATATGCGATATAGTTAACATCAATTGCAAAACGTCATAATGATTGAATGCAGTACCTAATGTCAGGGAAGAATGTATTTGCTCAATGCTCTGGCGAGTAATTAATTGTAATCTCATATGCAGCTAGAGACATCTCATAAATTTCCTTCATATAGTCGTTTTATTCCACTATAGTATATTTATAGCAAGCAGATTGGAGAAAATTCCCCAAAACTTGTGTGTCATTTGCCTTCATTCCTAAATCTTTTAGCTTTGATCTAAAATTTTTAACCAGGTGCGGAACACATCTTGAGTGAATTGCTTTAGGAAAATATTCTCTCACGGCTTCTCGAATCTCCTTGTCGGTATCAGAAATAATTACCAATTGGTAGGGAAGATTGCATGGGTCTGACCTTTCATACAATATGTACTATAGGCTTTGAAGGAACCATCTCTAATTATCTATATTTTCCTGATCACGTACGCAATATGCAAGTGGAAATATCCTTTGGTCTCTGTTATATGCTATGGTTCTCAGGAACATGCCTTTGTATATGTCTTTCAAAAAGGTCTCATCCAAAAATAATAGGGGTCTACACCCATTTAAGAAACCAACTATGCAAGCAGCATAATATATAAATAGTTTTCTGAACCTTTCTTCATTCTAGTCAATGCAAATGTAGCTTCCTGGATTCGTTTGCTTCACCATTTTCTCATACATGTACAACAATGTGACCATATTTCATGTAAATATAATACATTGGAGAAAATAAGAATTAATTTTTTAAACTACATTACCGTCTAAGAGTTAAAATTAACATCTAACTATTAAAGGTATTGTCTAACTGAGATAATATCTTCACATAAAAGGTAACAGTTATTCATGAAACATAACATCCCATGGTGATAGCTGAAATATATCAATGAAACTTAACATGAAAAGTCTAAGGGTAATATATTGCACGATAAATTAATAACTAACATTGTACTATAAGTGGCTAGTAACAAATTTTGCACATTTAATAAAATAACTATAAAATTTACCATCTTAATTGATCATAAGACTCATAACTATCACCGTACATATCCTCTAGTACTCTTTCATTGCCTCACTATATCTTAATGTATTCAAGTCTTAATCTATATCGAGTGAGGAACTCCTTTTGTACATCAATTGGGCGGATTTCTGGTCGAACCTTTAATACAGGTTGTAATTGGGCTGCTATGAATTTGCAAGATGCCCGTGATTGCCCTGACAAGTTAGTATGTTGTTCGCAATTGTGTTCATTCACAAACCTTTTGATTTCATATTTTTTTTCATTTTTAACAGGAGATGCAAACTGCATCTAAGGGCATCCATATATCTCCTTATATTGATAATAAACTCGGATATGTTTGGGTTCATTCTTTACAAATTCATAGTCAAACTTTTCCCCATAGAATAGTATTGCAAAGCTAGTCTCAATTCATTTATAGTTTCAAATTGTTGTCCTTTTTTAGTTAATGTTGTATGCCACCATTGAGAAATGATGGAAATATTATTGAGAATATCATCAGCTCTCATTACATTCTCACCAGACGGACAATCATTTTGGATTCTTTCAGAATTAGAAGCATTTTCTAGAGGAGGATGACTATATTCTGCATTCAAAGAGGCATCACTACTGCACAAATTAATCATCCTGTGAGATATCCTGTATACTATAGTATAATATTATCTTCTGATATTTTAAATTAACAGCTTCTTATGTAAACAAAGAGGTAACTGTGAGCGTTAACTGACTAGGAGTAAAATTAAATATTTTCCGTAAAACATAACATAGAGCAGTGGAATTTAATAGACAATATGCATAGTTATTACATTACAAAAAAAGTTAACAACTTCATAAAAATTTTGACATGGTCACATGAAAGTTAACATGTTCATGTAAAGGTTAACATATCTTGTAGAAACTTAACATGTAAGATGAAGAGTTAGCATCTAACCATTAGAGATGACAACTATGTTTTTCGACTGTGCATCGAAACCTGAAATCATAATTTTTACATCACACAAAGCCCAGTTTTAAACAGAGTTCATTGATTACTTATATTTCAGTAATAACTTTCTGATTTTTTCAGAAGTAGGACAATCAATATTAACAACAGCTTGCATGTTAATCTTCGTACAACTAGTATTTTGATTGTGCTCTAACATGCACTTCAAATCATGAAGAATATAGTATTCTCGCCTAATGACATCATGCACATCAAGTCTTTAGTGGCCGTTGGGGGTTGTTGAAAGTTATGATGATAGTTATGAGGAGTAATTGAGGGAATTTTTAGTGCATAAGTGGTTCTTGAATGTTGAAGAATAAAAACACTTAAAATGTTTTTCGACTGTGCCTTGAAACTTGAAATCACTATGTTTACATCACACAAAACCTAATGATATAAAGAGTACATTAATTACTTACATTTCAGTAATAACTTTTTAATTTTTTTCCAGAAGTGGAACACTCTATATTAACAGCAGCTTGCATGTGAATCTCCGTACAACTAATATTTCGATTATGCTCCAACATGCACTTCAAATCATCTTCATTATCAACTAAAAAACTCAGGTTGGGGTGCCTCTTAGATTTATATATCAATGATAAACCTTCTTGAGGTACTTTCAGTCTTTCAGACACATTAAATTTCAGTTCAAAAAAACTTATTGTCAAACTTAGCATCAAGAATATGACCTTCTTGCCTAAAGACACTATGCAAATCAAGTCATTGGCGGCCATTGGGGGATGGTTGAAAGTTATGAGAACAATTATGAGGAGTAATTGAGGGGATTTAAAGCGCATAACGGGTTGTTGAAAGTTGAAGAAAAAACCCCTAATTTTATAAATGAGAGAGTGAGAGATAAAACTAGACAATATATAACCCATGATGATGAAGTGGACCTATAATGGAGGGAACCCATGCTTTTTTCCCTCGCTTTTCGTCGTCGTTTCCCCTTAACTGCGATGGAAGAGATCACCGGAATGAGGAGTCAACGAGCTGATTTTCTGGGAGAGAGAAGAAGGTATTTTCGATAGGTTTGTCAAAATACACACGGTATATGTATATAGGTGGGCTTTGGGGCTGGGCCATACTTTTGACACTCTTTTGGGGCTAAAAAGTAACTGAAATAATTAGTGGGGCTGGGCCGCCTCAGATTCTTCATTTTAGGGTCTTGACACATTTTCCCAAAACTTTTCATTATAATTTCACAAAACTAAGATTAACTTGGACATTTATTTAAAATTTTGAAAAGCACATGCTAACTCTTTACCAGTTGGGCTTAGACTATTAAGTATAATATATATAACTTCATGGCAATTTTCTACTTTACTAAGCTTTTTTAAGTAACCATGTAACGAGCTGTGGGCTAATGTATTCCTACCCAGTTGGGCTTAGATCATTAAGTATAGAAATACTATTTGGGTTAAATTGCTTAGTCAACTTTAAAATTCAAGATTCTTATTGGTACCTATTTTTCACACTTCTAGTCTTTTAAATATATTTGGACATTTATTTGCATAAAAAATACTTGAGAAATTATTATCCACTCTAAGTTAAGCATAAAAAAAAATTTATTACTTCAAATAAAGTTTTAAAATAGAGTTGTAATAAATAATAATAATTTAAAAATTATTTCTTAAAATTTTATTTACAGTTATCACAAAAAGGCTAACTTAAATGTAAACCTATTGAAGAACTGAAAGTTTAAAAATTCATCAAGAAATTAATTATTAATTAACATTATCAAGTTGACAAGTGACATATTTTATTTAAGGGAAAGAAAATAAAGGATAAAATAAAATAAGAAAAGAAAAGATAAAGAAAAATTATAACTAGTCCTCATTCCCACGCCGAAATTTTGCATTGCCCTCAATACAAAGTATATGATAAAAAATTAAAGCAGATAGCAAATGAAGCAGACTATATAATACAAAAAAAAAAGAAAGGAGATAGCAAATGAAACGCTTACACAAAGAAAGTAAGTGCACTCATTATTATATATTTAATTTGAAAAAAATATTGTATGCCACCTCACACAAAGAAAGTCAACAACCAGTGAGGGATTCAAGAATGACAGAGGGGTCATGGTGAGAATTCTTAGAAAAACTATACCTTAACTTAGCAATTAGTATCAACACTGCTAGGTATTAGAATTCCTCACCAACTTAGATTATTCTAGAACAACTTTCTAGAACTTCTTTCTAGTAACATCCCACCAACTTAGATTATTCTAGAACAACTTTCTAGAACTTCTTTCTAGTAACATCCTACAAAATATCTACAAAGAAGTTTCTAGTATTCTAGAACAACTTTCTAGAACTTCTTTCTAGTAACATCCTACAAAATATCTACAAAGAAGTTTCTAGTAAGATACAAGTGTATGGCTAGTATTTATTCTTCTAGAAACTTTTTACTAATGTATGGCTAGGATTAACTCTTCTACACACTTCCTAGTCCTCTTAAACAACTATAAATAGGGGTCTGGGGTTCTTATTTGTGCAAGCAAGCAAGAAGTAAGCTTGAAAGCTTGAGTGTGTAGTGTAGGCTTGTGTGAGTATTCACCAAAATAAAAAGTTGTGTGAAAGTGAGGTGCTCTTGTAAGAGTAAGTATTGTACTCCCTAGTGTTCTATCAATAAAAGTTTCCTTTGTGTAGAGGGTTGTGTTCTTCAAATTCCATCAAAGTGGTATTAGAGCAAGGTTCGATCTAGGCGGGCCAATCGAAATGGCGAACATGATCCAGCCACAGATTCCTAAGCTGATAAAGACCAATTGCGACAACTGGAGTATCCAGATGAAAGTCTTGCTCGGTTCGCAAGACTTGTGGGAGCTCGTGGAGAATGGTTACACTGAACCCGAGTCACCTGCAGCAGAAGTAACTCTCACCGCCACACAGAAGAATGAGCTAAAGGAGGTCAGAAAAAGAGACAAAAATGCTTTGTTCCTAATATTCCAAGACGTAGATGAATCTGTGTTTGAGAAGATTTTCAACGCCATGTCCTCTAAAGAGGCATGGGAGATTTACAAAAATCCTATCAAGGTGCGGAAAGAGCCAAAAAGGTACGCCTCCAAGTATTAAGAGTTGAATTTGAAATTTTGAAGATGAAAGCTACAGAATCAATATCAGACTATTTTAGTAGAGTTCAGACAATAACTAATCAAATGAAGAGAAATGGAGAAGCAATTAATGATGTAAGAATTATGGAGAAGATACTTATGACTTTAGATTCTAAATTCAAATATATTATTCCGGCAATACAAGAGTCTAAAGATCTCTCCGAAGTTTCTATTGATGAGCTGCAAGGTTCTCTGCAAGCTTATGAACAATATATAAATATCAGTTCAAATCAAAAAGAGAATCTAGAGCAAGCCTTGTAGAGTAAGATGACTATCAAAGAAGATAGTCGAAGAGGACGTGGAGGCTACAGAGGCATAGGCTCCTTTCGAGGTGGCTCAAACTTCCAGCAAGGTCGTAGGAGACGGTACCAAGGAGGCCATGAAAATCAAGATCAACATAGAGACCGTGAACGATCATTCGATCAAGGAAGAGGTCATGGCACACGAGGAAGAGGACAAGGAAGAAGTTACCAGGAGGATAGATCTCAGCCACAGTGTTACAAATATAAGAGATACGGCCATCTCAGCTACGAATGTTGGGAGAAATCAAATCAAGTGACAGAAAGAAATAACTTTGTAGAAAGGGAGCAGCCAGACACTTCAACAGTCTTGCTGACGTACCAGGAGAGCGAAAGCAAGAATAAAGATATCTGGTATCTGGATTCAGGTGCTAGTAACCACATGTGCGGCATCAAGGATCTTTTCACCGAGCTGAACGAGACGGTACAAGGAGATGTCACCTTTGGAGATCAGTCAAAGATTCCAGTGAAAGGCAAGGGCAAGATAATGATCCAAACAAAGACGGGCGAGAATAGGTACATCTCTGACGTCTATTATGTTCCAGCACTACGAAATAATATTTTTAGTCTAGGCCAGCTCCTTGAAAGAGGCTATGATATATATCTAAAAGACCTTCCCTCACTATCAAGAATAAAAATGAAGTAATTGCAAAGGTGAACATGTCTCGAAATAGACTATTTACCTTAAATATTCATACTGACCCTGTCAAGTGCTTAAAGATGATTATGAAGGATGAGTTTTGGCTCTGGCATTTGAGATTCGGGCATCTCGCATTCAGTAGCCTAAATCTTCTGTGGAAGGAGAAAATGGTGAAAGGATTGCTGCAAATCAATCATTCGAACCAGGTATGTGAAGGTTGTATGAAGGGCAAGCAACATAGAAGAAGTTTTGAAGTTGGAAAGTCAAGAAGAGCAACAGAGCTGCTACAATTGGTCCACACAGATATTGCAGGACCATTTGAAGTCGTCTCTCTTAGAGGAAATAGGTACTTTCTCACATTTATTGATGATTATAGCAGAAAAACTTGGGTTTATTTCGTGAAGGAGAAATCCGAAGCTCTAGAGAAATTCAAAGAATTCAAAGAGATGGTAGAAAAGCAAAGTGGGTACCACATCAAAGTGCCCGATCAGATCGAGGTGGAGAATACACTTCGAAGGCATTCAATAATTTCAACAAGCAGTACGGTATAATTCATCAACTCACTATCGCCTACACACCATAGCAGAATGGCATAGCAGAGTGGAAGAATCGTACTATTCTTGATATGGTCAGAAGCATGTTGAAGAGCAAGTACCTGCTAAAGACTTTGGGCTGAAGCCGTGGACTGTGCAGTTTACCTCCTCAACCGATGTCCGACAAAGAGCATCAAGTTCAAGACACCATTAGAGATGTGGAGCAACATCATGCCAAGTGTCAACTAGCTGAAGGTGTTTGGGTGTATTGCATATGCACACATCCCGAAGCAGAAAAGAAAGAAGTTGGACAATCAAGGAGAAAAGTGCATATTCGTTGGGTACGAGAGGAGGACAAAATCATACAAGCACTACAATCCAGTTACAAAGAAGATGATCATTTCAAGAGACATGGAGTTCGATGAAGAAGATTATTGGAAATGGATCGATGAAGACAAAAACATTAAAGGTATGTTCTTTGAAGATAATGATGATGAGACTTGCAGGAGGTTGAAAGACCAGAACAAAGTCCACCAAATAGTCCAGCTCCATCAACCTCAACATCGACACTGACATCATCACCATCCAGCTCAAGTGAAGGAAGCTCTTTAGGGGGAGCAACAAGGAGGACGAGAAGTCTAAGAGATCTGTACGATGATACAGAACCAGTCGAGATGATGGATGACTACACACTATTCTGCTTGTTTGCAAAATGTGATCCGATTAGCTATGAAGAAGCTGCTCAAGAAGACAAGTGGAGAAAAGCCATGGATGATGAGATTGAGGCAATCAAGAGAAATGACACATGGGAGCTCACCACCTTACCTGAAGGCCATAAACCCATTGGAGTAAAGTGGGTGTACAAGACAAAGACAAATCAAGATGGCAGAATCGAGAAGTACAAGACCAAGCTTGTTGCAAAGGGCTATAGTCAGCGAGAAGGAGTTGACTATAAAGAAGTGTTTGCACCAGTCACGAGGATCGACACCATTCGACTCATTATCGCATTGGCAGCACAAAACCGGTGGAAGATCTATCAGATGGACGTGAAGTCAGCCTTTCTTAATGGCTATCTAGAAGAAGAAGTCTACATCGAGCAACCACCTGGGTATGTGATGAAAAATCAAGAAGACAAGGTCTACAAGCTGAAGAAGGCATTATATGGACTGAAGCAAGCACCCAGAGCGTGGAATGCTAGAATCGATGCATACTTCCAGAAGAACGGATTCTAGCAGAGTCTGTATGAGCACTCTCTATATACCAAGAAGGATTGAGACATTATGATCGTATGTCTCTACGTGGACGACATGATCTTCACCGGTAACAATCCAAAAATGTTCGAGGAGTTCAAGAAGAACATGATCAAGGAGTTCGAGATGACTGACATCGGAGAAATGTCATACTTTCTTGGAGTAGAAGTGTCGCAATCTGAGTGAGGAATCTTCATCTCTCAGAAAAAGTACGCAAAGGAGATCATTCAGAAGTTCAACATGAACAACTGCAAACCAGTTACAACTCCTATCGAAGTTGGAGTGAAGCTGAGGAGAGACTCACCAGGAATCTCTATTGATCCAACTTTGTATAAGAGCTTAGTCGGAAGCCTACGATACCTGACCATTACAAGACCCGACATAATGTTTGCAGTTGGACTGGTGAGCAGATTCATGGAGGAGCTAAGGCAAGAACATTTCAAGGTGGCCAAGAGGTTTCTCAGGTATGTTCAAGGAAGCATTAATGAAGGATTATTTTACTCACAAAGTGTAGATCCAAGACTAGTCAGTTACACTGACAGTGACTATGGGGGAGACTTGGATGAAAGAAAGAGTACATCCGGTTACATGCTCAGCATTGGATCAGCAGCCTTTTCATGGTCATCAAAGAAGCAGTCAGTTGTTGCTCTATCAAGTTGTGAAGCGGAATACATTGCTGCATCTGCAGGTGCATATCAAGCGATATGGCTTAGAAATATAATGAAGGAGTTGCAACACCAACAAGAAGCACCGATAGAGATTCTCATCAACAACAAGTCAGCTATTGCACTTACCAAAAATCCGGTAGCACATGGACGAAGCAAACACATAGAGACAAGATATCATTTTATCCGACATCAAGTTAAAAGGAAGACCGTGATGCTAACATATTGCAAGTCTGAAGACCAAATCGCTGACATCTTCACCAAGCCACTAAAGACAGAAATATTTTTGAAGCTTAAGAAGAAGCTTGGACTTGTGAGAAATGAAAGTTGGTGATGAGGGGGAGTATTAGAATTCCTCACCAACTTACATTATTCTAGAACAACTTTCTAGAACTTCTTTCTAGTAACATCCTACAAAATATCTACCAAGAAGTTTCTAGGAAGATACAAGTGTATGACTAATATTTATTCTTCTAGAAACTTCTTACTAATGTATGGCTAGGATTAACTCTTCTACACACTTCCTAGCCCTCTTAAACAACTATAAATAGGGGTCTTGGGCTCTTATTTGTGCAAGCAAGCAAGAAGTAAGCTTGAAAGCTTGAGTATGTAGTGTAGGCTTGTGTGAATGTTCACCAAAATAAAAAGTTGTGTGAAAGTGAGGTGCTCTTGTAAGAGCAAGTATTGTACTCCCTAGTGTTCTATTAATAAAAGTTTCCTTTGTGTAGAGGGTTGTGTTCTTTAAATTCCATCACTAGGCTCTTTGCCAATCAACAATACTAAAGTATATCACATTCAAATTCGTAGAATCTAACACAATAAGGTTTTGTCTCAAAGAAGCCGCATAAGTTTCCGGAGCAAAATATCTCGCCATCCTGTGAAAATGAAAAGCAAATATTTCATAGAAGTTTCACATGTTCCATTTTAACCACGAGAAGTAATCGAGGATGTAAACATACCCTTACACGAATTGTAAATTCAAAGTATCATACATAAAACATCACCCTTTTTCATAATTTCGTCTCTAACTCTAGGTGATATATTCCTGATACATCTTCCTTTTTCCACTTTAGTGCCTGTTTGGTTGCACGTGTTTTGAAGGGAAAACTAAGAAATTTGTTAAATTGTGGGGTTCACATTTAACTTTCTCAACTTTCCTACATTTGGTTGTCTCTTTGAAGACCATGAAAATGTTAGTGGAAAGCGAAAATATGTCATAAATACAATGACATCCAAACCAAACAATAGAACTCAAAGGGGATAGTTACAGCGCGGATGAACATTTTCCATATTGGGCATAACAACATCTCCACAACTCAAAGGGGATAGTTACAGCGCGGATGAACATTTTCCATATTGGGCATAGCAACATCTCCACAACTCTTCACTGATGTACCGTTAGAATTTTATTTTTACAGAAACAGGATATCCGATATTTTCTTATAACACGCATAAAAACCACACTTTCATGTAATCTTTTACATTGCTGAAAGATTATTAGTAGAATTCCTCCTACAGTTTGACCAGTACTCTGCCACGAGCTTGGCGAAGGCGGAATCTTTGGTTTCCATCAGTTTTGAAGGGTTGTCATATTCCACTAGTTTCCCTGCGTAAGGACATAAATTAAAGCCTCTTTCAAAGGTGATTTATCCCAATACATAAGAACAACTGAAGCTTCATGCATGTGTATTAATACATGTTTAATTTAGTAGGTCATTGAGTAAGGAACAAGATTATCTAAGCACTAATCAGTCTCCACTGCTTCTGTTTTTGATTCAATAGATTATTTCATGTCCCGGTATCTCTACACCATAAAAAGTTACGGATGCATGAGCCAACATATTGAGGAACTAGATGTAGTACATAAACCTGGG